TACCTATTTTAGTTATGTAGTAATATCATGACATAAAAATAGTAGAAGCACTATATATATATATATAAAGAATTTAAAAACATTAATTCAGATAAAAAATCAAAGAAGAAGGTGATACACACATCCAAGTATAAAATAACGTATGATTTGGCGGTAGAAGCCGAACTAGTCGAGTTCACTTTCATTTTCTTTAAAAACTGAAACCTTCAAAGTCTTTTATTTCTAATAGTTAAGTAATATTATAGAAACGATAGAAGCCCTTTACAAAATTATAGAGGGATTGTCGAGATTGTCAAGAGATGTAGTTTTAAATTGTTTTTCTTATTTATTGAATCAACTATAAAAATTGAAAGCCATAGTCTATGAATACGTGAATAAAGGAAAAAAAATTTTTTTTCTATGATGTTTTGATATACACTTAAAATCAATTTTTTTTTCTTTTATGGTGGTGTTCGGAAAAAAAAAATTATGGTGTTATAGAAAGAAAAATTCTTGTGGTTTGAAAATAAAATAAAATACGAATTTTGTATTAAAAATGTTATATAGGAAACACAGGATTGGATGCTGAATCGGAAAAATAAAAAGAATATAAGAAAAATAGTATAATAAGAAAAACAAGAAAACGCAAAAAAAAAAAAAAGTTAAATAAAAAATACATATTCAAAAAGTTATATAGAAAATATAAGAAACATATATGTATTAAATAAGTGTATAATAGTCATATTTAAACAATTTAAGGAAGTTTTTAAAAATATTTAAGAGCATTATAGTCAATGTTTTTATTTTTTATTTTACTTATTGGAGCCCAAGACCCGGATACAACCAAACTATCTAGAAACTGTAAAATCGCCGGTTTCTTTAGTCCTTTATCAAATTTTTTTTTTTTCAGGAATCACGATTTTAACATGCATTTTTAATTTCATTGCATGTGATTCAGATTGATGTGTTAGTTGTCCTCATACAACAGATATTATTTCTGGAATTTTATTTTAATATTTTTGGTGGAATCATGTAAGTATGTATGCAGAGGGCATTATATGTATAAACCAGAATTTTCTTGTGGGATTTTTATTTTTAACGGTTCATTAGAAAACATTGCAAAGATTCAGGGTTCACGTGACAACAAACATGATAACAAATAGAAATATTATAATTAAAAAACTTGCTAATTAAACATCATCACAAGGTGCAACAAGCACCATAAATGGAGATTATTTATTTAATAATAAGGGTGTTTTTGGATCAATTTTGCCACTCAAAATTAAATTTTTCTTTAAACAATTTTAAAAATATATTTTCCATATCGATCTGGTACATTAAAAAAAATTAATAAATTTTTTAGAATACTAACTTTAAAAATTGAATTTGAAAAAAAAAAAGAAAAGACAAACCTTCTTAAAATTACTAACTTAATATAGATGGAGAGTTAATTGGTAATGCAAGTGTGCTTGAATTCGACATACTTTAATCAGGTTTATACATAAATAAATTGCTAAAATTCTTGGATGCACAAGAATAATTTTTCAGATGTCAGGCCGGTTTAGATGGATTCTCTCATCTCATCTTAGGCTCAAATGGAAGAAGAGATTGCTAGAAAGAAATTTCTCATGATGTACGCTCTGAATTGCCTCTAAAACCCAATAGAAAACTACTTAATTTATCTACCTACATGGAAACTGGTTATGATATCCCTTCAAGCGTCAAAGAAAAATAAATAAATAAAAACCTCAATTTAGATCTTAAAGTATTATCTCGTGACTTCCAAACCTTTTGATCTTATCAGTTTTGTTCCAAACATAATTAATATAAGGCAATGCCACCTCTCCATCCATCTATTGTTAACGAAAATTAAAAGATTTTATCTAAAACATAAATATAAAGCCCTAATTAGCCCTAAAGAGTAACTGTGGAGCTAAGTTAACAAAAGAGGAAACCTTTATTTGATAACTTAAGGGAAATTTAAACTTTTCTCTTTGGTTAATATGATACTAAAATTGTCCTCTAGAGAAGAATGAGGTTTATTTTAGCACTTGAGATGGGAAGGGTTGATGATATGGTCTAATTTGGGTTATGTTTTTTTGTGAAATGGATTTGAAACTGAATTGATGACAAGATAAACCATTAGGGGCTGAACTGAGTTTCCACTCAGAGAACCTTCATGCTAGTAAAGCCTTGGCGTCCATGAATTCATCATTCAAGTAAGGAATCTGGTCTAAGCCTGGTCTGGTCTGATTAATCAAGCGTTTTTCGGGCTCCGGCTTTAGTTATTGGAGCCCAGCCTCAGCCCACATTATATTTTTAATTACTTTCAGCATGCTAGTTGCTCAATATTACTTTGTCAGTGTATGTTTATTTATTTATAATAATAAAAGGAAAAGGACAATCTATGGTGACCTGAGAAAGAACCTCCGTAAAATCATCCTAAAAACTATCGAACCCAAAACATAATTGGAAGAGGAAAATGGAAAAATCTTTCACTTTAATTCAAACAGTAGCAACAGCAGGAGTTTTCTCTGCCGTTTCCTTCTGGTAATAGTAATTCCCCAATTTTCCTCCGTTTTTTCTTTAATTTAAAAAACTTTTTTTAATTTCTTTTTTTGCAGCAGGTATGGTTTCATGTTTGGAAGAGAATCAGCACGGAAAGAGCTTGGAGACCTAATTGAAGATCTTCGCCGTGGAAATCCGGATTCAAATCCTCCTTCTCCTCCTCCACTTTCCTAATCGGTACTACTAGAACGTTGGGATTTTGACTTACCTCCTCATCTTCTGTGTTATTGTGAGATAATTGTTTCCTGTCTTAATTAATATTTTTCTTTTTGGAAAAAAAATGTACATTGTGTAACATTGCTGCTGATTTTAAGAAGCATTGGCAGAAAATTATTAGTTACTGCGTATTTTTTATTTCAAGTATTTTGATTTTGCCATGTAGATTTATGTATTGCTTGTTTCGTTGTATTATGTTCTCAGCTGCCTTTTGCTTATTGTTTTTTTTAATCATGAAAACCTGGTTGGCAATCAAAACATATGGATGCTTGACATTGTTCGTGCTATTATAGCCTTTTGTGGTGGTAATTGATGTGTAAAAATTTATTAAAAGAATATGTCTACACATAATAAATTATGAACAATAATTCGATGATAGAATGTTCCTAAGGTCAAGAGCTTAGAGGAATTTCATTCTTTCTTTCTTTCTTTCTTGTTTGTGTTGATTTTGGTATTAATAGGCCCCAATCCTAGAATGTTTGGATGTAGATTAGAAGGGCTTGGAAGTCTTTTTTTTATTTTTTATTATTATTATTTTTTTTGGCATATGAAGTGGGTATAGAGGGTTCTATCTTTTTTGGCGTGAAACTTGGCTTCAGAATATTCTTCTAGAGTCCTAATTATCCAGTTTTCTTTTGACTTGGTTAGGGATAAAGGTAGAATATGAGCTCTTGTTTTTTATTTTTTTTTCCCTCAAACTTACTTAAGTTGCAACTTGAAGTGGAAGATGAGGGTATGATGAGATGGGGACTATCTAGTAACAATAAATTTGATCAAAAATTTCTTAAAAGAATCACATATTGAGAGACGAGTGATATCCCCTGGAGATCTATTTGGAAGATCAAAGTCCTTTTGCTACAGTGTCTTTTTTTGCATGGGAGGTGGCTTGCATAGTATTTTGACTGTTAGTAGCCCTACATATTGGTGAAGTGTTGCTATCTTTGTTAGGGTGCAGCTAATCTCTCAATCACCTGTTGTTTCACTGCCGGTGCAATTTGGAAGTTGGAACACCTCAGGCTTTGGGAATGTTGAGTTGAATGCTTCGCTTGGTGGAGGTTTCTGTAGGAGGAAAAAGGGAGTTATGCAGTTGTATTCCACTAATTATAATTTGGTTGCTAAGTAATGTGACAAAACTGGGTGTGCAATGGAGTCTTAGCCTTCTTATAGATAATTTGATTACAAAATTAATTTCTGGCACACAGGGGAACTTTTTGCAAGTGTAAAAGATGCTACAGAGGCTCATTATTTTTATGTAATTTTGGTCACTGTAAATGGGATGGCACTCCCTTGATAACTTTAGAATAGGTTTCTTTTTCCACAAAAAGAAAAGAAAAGAAAAGAAAGGAGAAGAAAGATAGATAATGGTAACTTATGGGACACAAGAGTACTTAAAGTTAGGAACAAGTTTAATGTATACAGTAGTTCAACAAAACTGAGACCTGGGAGCTTAAGATTGGTTTCTGCAATGTTGATCTCTTAGAAAGTATGATTCTCGCTAGTCTTTATATAGTAGCATTGAAAATTCAACAACCTTACGTGGTTCTTTAATACAAGACAATTCTTCTAATATGACTGTAAAATAAGGTCACGGTTCAGCAGCAAAATGCAATTCTTTTTCCCTATAATGCATTAGATATAATGGTAACTACTAGCCTGGCACAATCCTGTATGGATTATTTTTTAATGTTTAAGGTCTCAGCAACTGCTTGAGATAAGTTCCATCTTGGTGCTAGGTACCACATATGTCTTCTTTAAAATTGCAGGGATTGAAAAGTTAAGCTTTGTGAATCACTCTTCTAAATAATTTAAAGCATATTTTTCATTGAACTTGAAAGAATTGCACCCTTTGGGAGATGAATATGATCACAATTGAATTTAAAAATGCATTTATTTAAGCAAACGTATAGAGAAAGATGTATGTTGACTGGATAGCGTTATGAACGAGATTGAATGATCATTCTGGGTCACCCTAACACACCCTAAGTAATGAGTTGACTTTTAGCTGTCCATAATCTTGGCTGATACAACATTAGCTTATAAGAATTATTCTCCATTAGTGGTGTGGAGATATAGATACAGATTTTGATTCTTTTATATAACCATCTCCAGAGTTTGGCAGGTCATGCCAAAAGTATGGTGTATATGTACAATTACTTTTTTTCTACTTTTCTTTCTTTTCTACCTATAATACATTGAATTATTCAGTGGTTTACATGAAAATGCACATGTTTTTTTTCTTAAGCCAGAGCAGCTTCCTTAGTTTTCTGAGCACTCTTGTCTTTGATAAAGCCAACATAAAGGTTAGTTCCACGGGAGTCGCACTCTGATAGTTTTCTGTTCCGACCACCTTCTGACATGCTTCTAACAAACTCCACCAAGTGCCGCCAGTTGTCCCCTTCAAACAACTTCTTATTAAGTCTTAGATATGTGAATGCAGTCAAACTGTTGCCAGAATCTGATCTACTTGTTGCCAAAATTTGTGCATATGCACCTGCATCATACCTCTCTAATGCATTCTCTCCAGCAAGTTCAATTCTAGCAGTCCTTGTAGCCATCTTTACTTGCTGCACTAATCCTTCTGGAGAGCAATTTGCATGTGCTGGCTGTTCTCCATCTCGCATTTCCATGCAGGTGAAATTGAATACAGCTCCATGTTTCCCGAACATTCGTGCTATTGGTAGGTACCCATCGTGGTGTCTAGTATTATAGTATCCTGCAGTTAGTTCAGCTGCATGAGACCTCGTTCTGTAATGCCAATGAATTCCTGCTACTTTTCCTGATAGTTTTGCTCCAGTTCCTTGAAATATCCCTTCTGCAGCTGTTAGGATTTTTTCACCATGGTCTAGTAGCTTCCCTGAGTACCATTCTAAGAAGAACTGTCCATATTCAGTATTCCATGTCCCATCCCTTTGGAAAAATCCAGTTTCGTCAGGAAATTGATTATACTGGCCGGAATCATGGGGTCCTCCTTGTCCCCAATCTTTCTTTCCAATTTTTTCGGCTGATGCTTCCAGTGAAGCTCTCATGTACTGTTCAGCATAAAAGTTTCTTTTAGGAATTAAACTTTCCAAGCTAAATAAATTATAAGCTATTTGGTTTATTCTGATAAACTCCATATGAGATCACTGAATAAGATGCATCAATTGTGTTATAAATTGACAGGGCACTCCGTGCATGGACTACTCAAATTGGCTGACTAGCATACTAAAAATCTGCAGTTTAGGATGCAACCAAATTTACCTTGTCATAGCATTGGAATTCTCCAATTCCAGGAAACCTCCATGTGCCATTGCTTTCTGGATAAGCTGGGTATCTCAGTTCTCCACATGGACCCATCCCCACTTGAATTTCCTGCAATAAAAAATGAATCAGTTTCTAAAGCTTCAGGACATAATATCTCTACATGTAGATAATGAAGGGGTTACTCATGATTTTTTTTTTTTTTTTTGAAACGGTTGTAATTTTCCATTCTATCTGGTGTGGCTCTAATTTTTTATAGCATCAACTGAATAATTTGAGAGTTTTTCTCAGTCTCATCTTCTGGATCCTTTTTAGTTCAGTTTCTTTCCGATAGTCTTGTCAAATATAACCAAGTGGAGCCTATAATCTTGCATAGATGAGTGATGGGTCTACCACTGGACTTGTCCTTTGGTAGTCATTGGAATATATATAATTGCAGCAAACTTTCAGTGAAAAAAGAAAAAAAGTACAGAAAATTTGTTTCTTAAGCTGATATTTGGTATTAATTATGAGCTAAATGGAATTGATGCTTGCAAACCAATTTGTGATCAGCTTGTGCTTAATCCTTGCTTCAAGCTCAGAAGGCTTTTGATTGAGGGATGATGTGAAAATATAAAAACCTATTTTGGCCTCTCCTACTGGTTTAAACTTTTAGATTGAGTAGTCTTTATAATTTTCCTTCTGCTGTCTAACTTTTCTTTGTTGCTCAAAATGCTTACATAAGGCTATACAATTCCTTATTCTGTCCTCTTCCACGTATATTTGATTTCTAATGACCAACATTAACTCTCACTTTATGTTTTTCATTTCTGTTATTAGGTCATTTCCCTTATAGTTAAAACTATGCGCACATCTATTTGAGATCTCTCTGATCTACTACCTTGATATGACAAGGATTTGACATTCAGAATGATTTTATTATTATTTCTTTTGTTTCCTATCATATGAAATGGTGGTGAGCTGGTGACTGATAGACTTACTCTACATAACTATGTGACACCCCTGTTTCTTTTTAATTGTTTGTATTTATGCATGTATGTGTGTGAATCCATTCTCATCATCTTTGGGGAACTTGCATAATGAGGGAATTGTTTTTATTCATCGAACTCGAAAAGGATTTTCATGTTAGCCTTCTATTGATGCACTTTTCAAACTTCTTGTCGCCATAAAAAACTAATAACAGTGATTTGATTGGTATGAGCGTGTTCTATGATGTGTCTACATGATTGTGAATAAAAGTTCAAGTTTGTTACATGGTTTCATTTTTTGAAGTAAATTGGTGATTATTTATGTGCCCAATTTACCAGAATTTCATCTCTACACCCAAAAAATAGCACCAAAAATTGTCATGTCTACAAGCTTACCATAATAACTTCTCCTAGGTAATCTTTGAATCTGTTGTGGAAGCTTCTCATGTAATCACTGTAAACCTGTATGGGTGTCCTTCCTCTTAGCAATGGTAATGAGTCACAGCCCAAGGAAATGTACTCGGGATTCCTCCGTCCTGATCTGTCTGTGTAAACAAGATCAGGGTTTTTGCTCATCTCTTCAAGCACCCATGGAGGCAGGGGAATGCTGAAAATTCAAGAGAAAGAGGGGATTAGACACTGGAGTGGTTTAAATTAGAGTTAAATACCCGCAACATGCAAAGCTTATTAGTCAATGCCTGACAGGAAACAGGAAATAAGTCTTATCAAAAGAAATTAATGCTTAACGAAGAAAAAAAAATTACTGCTTGGCACTTTGAGTAGCCAAGTCTGAAAAGGTCTTTCATAGGGCTCTTAAGTAATTTGAAATTTTTTTCTTATTAGACGAATTCGTCTCTTAATCTTAAAACTTAAAAGAGAAAAATATTTCAAATCTAAAATTCAATGCTTATTTGTGACTATCGCCTAAAACCCATCTCCACCCAGAACAGTTAAGGCTTTAAAGTACCTGGAAGAATCTCCAACATTTCCTCCACACTGATGAAAGGACATGACTACTTGAAGCTTCAGGCCATGCTTTTGCACCAGCTGCAAAAGCTCTGCATACCCTTCCCAGTTGTATTTTAAAGGTCCATCTTTCTCCACCAATCCCCACCAAGCATCCACCATTACTCCTTCGACTCCTGCACTTCTCAAGGCCATCAAACTAGCATTCATTGCTCTTGGCTTGTTCAAGTTGCCCCCAATTGTTATTGTGTCAAGTGGCAGCATCACAAACACAGGCACACTAGAGTCGTTGCTACTATGAGAACTTGATATTGCATGTAGTTTCTCCCACTTCCTGCTTTTGCTTCCTTCTGTCATCAAGATTTCATCATGCAAAAGCTGTGCTTCTTGCATTGAATTCTTTGCTTGAAGACGGCATGATGGCTTGATTTGCGCAAAGCAAATTGTGCCAGAGAAGTCATCAGGAGTTTTCAGGCTTCTGGTGTCTTTTAGACTGATAAAAGAAGTTGAAGATTGCAGTGTTAAAGTCATTTTTCTCTTTGGTGTCTTAAGAACAGAAGAGGCAGAGAAGAAATGTAGGAATGAATGAATGGGCTGTGTGTTCATTTATAATAGAAACTCAGGTTCAGGTTTTTGAAGGATAAAATTTTTGGTGGGCCCTAGTTTAAAAGAGAAAAAGTGCAAACAATCAAACTAGTCTGCCGACCTTTTCAATGTCATTTTCGCCATACGTGGTTGCATCTTTTCCCATATGTTAGAAAAAAAAATGTTTCAGATTTTATTTTCCATTCGTTGAATTGATCTTGATTGTCGGATGCTGACTCAAGGGTATGTTACGATACTTATTGTTCTGCATGGTCTTTTCCTACATGGGAGGCAATTAAAATATCTTGAATGATGCATCTAACATTCTGAAACTATTGCCTTTTCGATTGCACCTGTGTACTGGAAGGTTTATCAGTTAATTATCCATGGTTTGTTAAGTCAAGGTTGTGAACTGCACCAAACTCTATTCTGAAACTATTGGATTAATTGTTTTTTCTTGTTCAGCACTTCCCTTCCAATTTATAATGGATGCATAAAAAGCTTTTTAGGACATTAGACTTGCCAGTGCAGATTGGACTATATGAGCAGCATTAGCCACTATTATTGGTGGAGGGATTTATTTTCCCTTTTCAATTTGGCTATTATCACATTTTCAAATCAAATCTTTGGGATAGGTGAAAAATGGGTGGTTTTCTTTTGCCACTATCTAGCTTACCCCCACAAAGTACGCATGCTTCTATTTGGCTTTATCTTCATTCCCACTCGTATGATTTTCTGTGGCAGGTAAAATCTTGAATTTTTTTTTCTTATTTAGTTCTGCTCAGCTTCAGATAAGAGACTGGAGGTTCCTTTTGATTGGGAAAACATGTGGCTGTGTCATGAGTCTCTGTTTTCATTATTCTTGGAATTTTATTTCTCTATGCTTCAACCATTCAAAGCTTGTCTGCTTCGTTGAATTAACACATGCTGTTTGTTATGCTCACTTTCTACATTGGAATTGTGAACTTCCACTGCCATTCAATTCTTCACCAATTAGATTGAACTCGCATTTATCTTGCATAACGTTATTCCATATTTTTGCTAATTTGTTGAGAAATGTGAACATCTTTGGATGCAATATTCATGGAGAATACCCTAGGGCTTAACCGTGTTTTACTCTCTACATCAGCATTTTGGTATCAGTGCTTGGTATCAGATGGAGTTCTATACACAGCATAGAGAAAGAAATCGAGATATAAAATTTAATACTAGTAATACTTTTAATCTATAAAGACATACCTATTTGACATGTGTTGGAAGGTTTTAGCTGGCTTTAATGTCTTCATGAATTTCTGCTTTGTATCTATCTTATTTTTCTGTACAGGTTTACCTTTTTCCAGTGATCTGGACGATTCTGTCTTCACCACATAATCTTATATGCAATTTGCTTATGGTACATTGGTACTTTTAAGTTTGTTGCACTATTTATTTTTATAAAAATGATTAATTGGAAGCTCTCTTCCTTCCCCTCTCCCTCTCGATATATATATATATATATATATATAACTTGCATTTTCTGTCTAGACCATTGTGAGTACCAGTGTCATGTGCGAGCTGTGCATCGGAAGTAACCAATGCCTGTGTTGCATCTCTGATGAGAATTGCTTTTGAAATTACCTAAGCAAGTATAGTAAACCATTCTAATTTCTTTTGCTCTTTTTTCTTTTTTCTTTTTTCAAAAATTTAAAAACTTTTCTTCACATTTGATGATGACGATGCATGCACACATGTAATGGAGTATATATTATGCACTTTTCTAGGTTAGCATTAATCACTGTAGTAGTTCTGATGCATGCCTAATGGTTCCAAACATAGCCATTTTAACTCGATTTGAAGAAACAAGGATGAAACATTGATGAAGTGCATTGATAGCCTTTAAAAAAGCATGCACGTTCTGATAGTTAAACCAGTGGGTCCTTGTTAATAGAAAAGATAATCACGAATCTATCGCACAGTGACGTAGATGCTTTGGTCTTTATTGAAGCAAGTCTTTGGAGCTTAGCTGTATACTGCCTGAGTGGTTAGCCTTCATTACAATTTTGAGGACGAAATGAGATCTTATCTTTTCCTCTCTCTCTCTCTCTCACCCACTTCCTCATGTGTCATGAGAAGCCTTAGAAGAACGGGGAAAAAAATTGGAAAGAGAGGGGAAAAAGGAAAGTGGTGGAACAGGAATGAGCTAGTGGGAATTAACCATGTAGTGAAAACCAAACCTGAAGACATAGTCTTCCAAGTACAAAACCCATATGCAATTTTTGGGTACAAAAGCAATGCATTTTCACATTATAAAGCGGTCCCAGGTGTTGGCTACTGAGAAAACATTGCACCCTGAAATTTGTAATTTTGTGACAATCATCTAGGGGAAGTGCTCGATTCTGCTTCTGGGTTAAGCATAACTTCAGGTGCCGGGTCACCACATGGATTTGAATAAGATCCGGTGGTTTTGCTATTTTTGTTGAAAAAAAATTGATGGGGATTTATTTTCCAGGTAGAAACTCCGGTCTCTGGCAACTCCTTGTTTTTTCCTTCGCGGCAAATTTGATTTCACTTTAAAGTCTACAGTCCGGAGGTGGGATTAACTTTAATTGGCTAGTGTAGGTGTCTCTCTCTCTGTGTTTCACGGCGAATCTAGCTTCGATGTCATCCAGCGAATAGCAGGATCTTCTTATATTATTCTTTGGAGGTGGATTAGGACTGATTTTGGACTGGAGGAAAAGACCTCCATTTGCTAACATTTTTCACACTGGCACATTGAAGCTACTATTGTCGTCTTGCCAGCCAATTGGTTCAAGGGTCCCCCAAAAATGTTCGAGTTCACGTGCTTTTTTTTCTTCGCTTTACGTGGTTCCCCAATCTCCATTGCGTCGACGTATCCATTGAGCCTTTCCTTATAATGCAAGTAATATATATTGAGCCTAAGAGACCTTCTTTTTTTATGCTTATTTATTTTCAGATATATTCAAGTACTTTTGTCAAATAATACATGTATCTTTTAGAATGAGTACATTTCTTTTTTCGGGAGTAGTGAAAAAAATTTCTTGTACCAGAGAAGTGAATTAAAGCAACTGTTAACCTTGCTAGAGTACGTCAAAGCATACCATATATGAATAAAACATAACTTTAAGCCATATTTTCTACTAACAAAAATTGGGGCTTTCTAACTATGTCCTGCAAAACTTGGCTGGTACACAATCACTTAAGCCCCATTTAAGTTATGTCCAGAAAAACAGATATTTCTATCATATAGCTCAGTTTTAGGATCTTGTCCCGTATCTTCTTCATTCACGCTGTCAAATCGTGGTTAAGCTGTTAGTTTGTCTAACACCTATTTTTGGTCTGGATGGGAATCTTATTTTGGCTTCTAATGACTTCCTCTTCCAACCAAATGCACAAAAAATGCGTAGCTGGAACCCCTTAATTAGTCATATCTGCTTGTAGGAGGTCTACTCTGTCTGTCTAAATAGATGAAAGGACAGTCCCGTCCTGCGATCCCAAGAAAGAAAAACGAAAAGACGAGGGAAAACGTGAGAGATTCACCCATTTCATGTAAGGGCATGCTTAAGTACTATGCTTCTTTACATTTTGGCTGGGGACGTGGATTTGAATGTTTCTGTGTTTCTACTTCTAATGGCTCCAATATCTAGCTTGTGCTTGTGCCAAGCTTCAAGTTTAATTTTGCTGCAATACATAGATATTTTTAGTAATATTGCCTGGCATACGGTGGGTGACGCCACAAAAAAAAATCTTCCTTTAGGAACTCCTACAAGATATTTCATGGCTGTTTTCCCATTATGGAGATTTCCGATTGCTGATATTTTCTAACGCGGAGTACTCTTTCATAGCTTCTGTATCTGTGCTTTTCAGACGTCTGTTTCCAACTTCAAAAGTTTCTTGCTGGAAGCCACTTAAACGATTCAAAATTTGAAATATCAGGGAAAATATCAGAAAAGATACGAACAAGGGAAAAATCAGTTCAAAGTAAAATCTACTGTTAAAATGAAATCTATCAAAGAAAGCATTGAAAAAAGAGAAAAATAAAAAAAACCATTACTTATTTACTAAAGTCAAATTAGAAAAAGTAATTAATGTTTCCATTAAATTGTGGAAAAAATTAAATCATTACTTTACTAAAGTCCAATTAGGAAAAGTAAAAGTCCAATTAAAAAAGAAAATTTTAAAGTCCTATTAAAACAGATCTCATAAAAAAAAAAAAGCATGCCACAAAGCTCTAGCTAACCATAGTTGAATAAATTATAAATTAGTTCCTCTCGTTTCAAGAAATAAATTAATTAGTTTATTTTGTTTTAAAAATTATTCATTTAGTCTCTAAGTTTTAATTATGTCAATAATTTAATTATTTCGTTAGTTTTTCATTAGAGTAGTAATAAGGTGTTTTTATTGTAGTATTTTTCCAAATTATCCCTTTTTTTATATAATATTTCTTTCCTTCACATGCATTTCTTTATTTTCTCATTTCTAAAATATCAAAACAAATTCTCACTTCTCTCATCAAATTATCACTTTCATTTCATTAATCTCCACTCATTTTATCTTCTTTTAGGTATCAAAACATATCCCTATGTATGGGTGTGTGTATATATTAAAAGATATTTTAAATATTAGGTATTTATTTAATAGATTTAACAAAAATTTAACGATAAGTTATTAAATAATTAGTTTTAAAACAATGAGGGTTAATTAATTTGTTATTCAAAACGATGGGGAGTTATTTATAATTTACTCACCATAGTTTAATTATTTTTTTAGTTTTTTTTCCTTGCATCTATATCATCTATGTATCTCTATGCTTCCAATTAAATTTCTCGCAATCCTTTTATTTAAGGATTTGCAGTAGTTAGTTTTGAGCTATTCTTGCATCCATGTAAATTCAATAAATTATCAAGTCGTGAAAATACTTTACCTTACTCAATTCAAGTAACTATGGC